ACGGGGCCAGCATGGTGGCTTTGTCGAACTGGATGGCGTGTCCGGTCTCGATCTTGTGTTCGGCTAGAGCTGATTGTGAGAAGTGGCCGTATTTGGCACATCGCTGGTGTTCTTTGATTCGTGTACTGATCTTCCTCCCGGTTTCTCCTATGTACACTTTGCCGCAGGAGCATGGGACCTTGTAAACCCCTGGGGCTGTTAAAGGGGGCCTCCGGTCCTTGGGATTGGGGAGCATTTGTGAGAGCTTGTTGCATGGTTTGAAAATCGCTTTGATGTTGTGTTTGCTCAGAATTCTGCTGATGCGGTCCGTGGTGCCTCTGACGTATGGGAGTATCACTGCCTTAATCTTCTCTTTCTGTCTCTGGCGTCGTGGTGTTGTTCTGGCCGGATTCCTTGTTTGTCAGCTTCTTGATGGCACGGTTGATGTTTCTGCTGCTGTATCCGTTCATGGTCAGGGTTCGGTGAAGGTGGTTTAGCTCTCCGTCCAGGGCGGTTGGTTCCGAGTTAGAGAGTGCTCTGTGGACTAGAGAGCTGATTACCGAATTCATTTGGGCGGGGTGATGGTGGGAGTTTGCGTGGAGGTATCGGTCCGTGTGCGTTGGTTTGCGGTAGACGTTGTGGCTTAGGGTGCCGTTTTCGTTCCTACGGACCATGACGTCCAGGAAGGGGATTTGGGAATCTTGTTCGGTCTCCATTGTGAATTGGATGTTGGGATGTTGGGAGTTGATGAAAGTGAGGAATTGAGGTAGAGTTTCCCTCCCGTGGTTCCAGATGACGAAGGTGTCGTCCACGTACCGGAACCATGTGGAGGGTTTTAGTGGGGCCTTTTTCAGGATTTCATTCTCGAAGTGTTCCATAAAGATGTTTGCGATGATGGGTGATATCGGGGATCCCATTGCTGCTCCCGTGGTTTGTTCGTAGAATTCTCCTTCGAACTGGAAATAGGAGGAGTTGAGGCAGTGTTCTATTAATGGGAACAGGGTGGATGGAATCTCTTTGGATGTTCTGATGATGTCCAGAGTGTCTTGGACTGGGACGTTGGTGAACAGGGAAACCACGTCGAAGCTCACCAGGATGTCGTTGGGCTTGGTTTTGATCTTGGTTATTCTGCCAAAACATTAACAGGGAAGAACGACTAGCGCTTCGGAGCCTAAGACAGAATGACGACATTCTCATCCTACCGGCGGACAAAGGCAACGCAACAGTGGTGATGGACAAAAGAGACTACCACAACAAAGTCAACACCTTACTGTCCGACGCCCAAGTCTACAAAAAGCTAAAACGCGATCCAACCACTAGCGTAGAGAAGAAAACCTCCTCCCTGATCAAAAAGGCGAACCTCCCTCCGCTAACCACGAAATACCTGACCCCCAGCGACAGCTCAGCACCCAGACTATACGGCCTTCCGAAGATCCACAAAGAATCAGTCCCCTTACGGCCTATCGTCAGCAACATCGGGGGCCCCACCTACCAACTAGCCCGCTACCTCACCAAACCCCTCCAAAAACTTACCGGCCTCAACGACTCCCACATCAGGAACTCAATGGATTTCGTGAACAGAATAACCAAGATCAAAACCAAGCCCAACGACAACCTGGTGAGCTTCGACGTGGTTTCCCTGTTCACCAACGTCCCAGTCCAAGACACTCTGG